TTATTTATTATTAACGTAGTAAAAAATTTGTTTATATTTGTTTATTTAACAGTTTTGTTTTGGTTTGAGAATTTAATTAAAGCTATTTGTTCAATTTTGGGGTTGGTTGTTGTAGTTCATTCTAACTATTATTTTTTTTTTTTTTTTTGACCTTAAACAACAGTTTTTAATTTGGGATTGGTTTGTCTTTTTATTTACTTGGATGAATTTAGGTCAATTTATTTTTTATTTTTTTATTTTCTTTTTTCGGTTTTTCTTTTTAGGTGTCTTTATTTAATATAGTATTTATTTATTTTATTTTTTTTTTTTTATTATTGTTTTTTTTTTTTTTTTTTTTTTTTTCCGTTTTTTTTTTTTTTAGGTTACGTAGTAAAAATTTATTTTCATGCCTGCATTTTGAGATGAGCTCGGATCTTTTTATTTAATAATTTATTTTGGTCTGGGAAAATAATGATAGTTATTTTTTCCTCCAAGCAAAGTTTGCAAGTTTTTGATTGGTTGTTGTAGGCTGATGATCTTTTTCTTATTTTCCAAGATATTTTTTGGTGTGATGTGCGTTTTGTTTTTTAATTTCCCAGATATACTTAGAAAGCATTGTACTGTTCGCATATTTACTATTTGTGAAAGATGTTTTGTGTGTATAATTTTTTTTTTTTCCAGGGTCCTTCAGTTACTCCTATGTATACTTTTTTTTTTCATTATCTTTTGATTTTATCGTGGCTTGGTATATTACGTTGTTTTGTAAACAATTTCCGTTTAAGGGACATTCGTTCTTTATTCTGCAGTTGCACGTGGGTTTAATTTGTTCGTGTGGTTTGTTGATAATTTTCCTGTTGTGCTTTTTTTTTTTTATTTGTGCCATGTTCTCGGTGCAACTGTAACTGATTTTTTACTGTGTTTTTTGTTGAATATCTTGTGTAAGGTGCTTGATTCTGGGAAGTGTTTGTGTAAGAGTTTGAAGAATATTTTTTCCTACGTTTGTTTTTACGTTTTTGTTGTACGGTGGGTTGAACCATATGATATTTCTTTTCCTGTTGGCCTTTTTTTGTGTTCTGTGGTGAGTATGTGAGTGTTGCCGGGAATCCGCTATCTTTTTAGGGCTGTTTCATAGTCTTTCTTAGCTTTGTTAAATATGGATTCATTGGAGGAATTGTTTTTGGAAAATCCTGCGGTTAATCGATTTTGGTATCTGTTTGATTATAGAAGGCGGATGGTATATAAGATATGTATATATATATATATGGTTTATCATTTAGTTTTCTGTATGGTTTATATGTGCCTTTTCTTAGGTTGAAGGTAACATCTAGAAAATCTACTTCGTTTAGGTTATTTTTTATATCTTTTCGAATCCATTATTTTTAAAAATCTTTATTATTGCTTTTCTAGTTTTGTCTGTGTTTTGTTTGTTACAGTTTCTTAAGATTATGAGACCGTCGTCCCTGTAGAGTCCTGTGTCATTTTATCTATTATTTTGCTTAGTTTCTATAGTAAATAAATGCCTATGATTTTTGCATGCCTTCTGCACCGTCAAAGATTCCCATTGTTAAAAAACACCAAATATCCCATCTTTCTTTATTCTATAAATCATTGACCAATAATAATGATTTATAAAATGACTTTTGATGTTGATTTCGCTTGAAAATTTTTTTAATGTTCCTGAGCTAAAAATGATGGCTTTCTTAATCAAAACAATTATCATTGTCAGTAATTCAATTTTAATTGAAATAGTTTTTGATTTTAATTTCGTTTGTTTTTAAAACAAATTTTTCATATTGAAATAAAAAAAGACTGGTCTTATCTAAATAAATTCTGTTATAAAAGAAAATTTTAAAAACTTTAATATATAGTTGCATAAACTGGCAATTATGTTTGGCTTTTAAAATAAACCAAATTTGATTTAATTTATTCATCATCTATAACTATTATATATATATTTTTTTATTCCTTATTGCATCGTGTGGCTATTGTTTTGGTGCTTTTTTTTATATTCTTTACTTGTGGAGTAATAGAAAAAATTTTTAAAATAAATATTATTCACTATATTTAAATTTATTCAATTCATATATATATATATATATATATATATATATATGTTATATTAACCATATATAAGATTTGAATCCTCTTTTTTATTTTATTTTATTATTTAGCAAACAGACCGAGTTCTATAACTTCATAAATATGAATTTTCATATTCCTATTCAAAATTAAAAAACAATTTAATTTAAAATCGTCAAAAATACATTAAAACATCAAATTGCTTCAACGATAATAAAACCGCATTTGGAAAAAACAAGATATATGAATGAAAATGATCCCTGTTGTATAAATTTGAATACATTAATTTTAATTATTTATCAAGCTAAAAATTAATTTCCTATCATAAAATTTAAAAGAAATTCTCATAATTTTGTTTTTTTAAATTCATTTTAAAAATTTAATTATTTATATATTATATTTGTGCAACGAAATTTAAAAATGACGCCATGTTTATTTATTTGGAACAAAATTTTAAAACATAAAGTTTAAAATTATATTCAATAAAAAACAAAAAATTTTTTAATCAAACGTCAAAAAATAAAAATAAATACCGAATGAACATACCACTGGTTCTTTTATTATATGATATTAAATAAGAATACAATAAATTTTTCAACCAATTGATAATTTTTTTTTGAATTTATATTTTTTAAATGAATCGCTGATAAATTATTTCAAATAATCAGATTTCTAGATTATCTATGAAATACAAATAATGAATATTTTTTTTAAATTGAATTTATTATTGTAAAATAAAAAAATTTTCAAATTCATTTTTTTCCGCTGCGATAAATATACTTATTTGATTTTTAAATAAATTTTTTTTTTGTGTATATAAATTTTTTATGTTTAGTTATAAAGATTTTTTAAAATTTTTTCAATTTTCAATAAATTCATTTTTATGTCAATTTGCTTTTTTTTATATATATATATATATATATATATATATATATATATATATATATATATATATATATATAATATAATTTTTATATTTTTTTTTTTTAATGGATATTTTATGATTTTTTTAAAAATAACAGACAAACAAAAATAACATTTTTTTTTTGATTTCAACAATAAAAAAAAAAATTTTTTTTTTTTTTTCTTTATAAATCATGGACATAAACACACATATATATATATAAATTGTAAATATAAAACCTCTTTATTGATTATATATATATAATTCTAAATTATAATATATTATATTTAAATGTGTGTTATTTATGTGTTATTTTGTAAAAATATTATATATATATTTATTTTATATTAATATTTATAAATTTTATTGTCAAAAAAAAAATATTTTTAATATATATTTTTTTATATTTATTATAGACAAATAATAAAAAAAAAATTGATTTTTATTAAAAAAATTTTGAAAATGGATGTTCCAGGTTATTTAATGAAAGAATCTTACAAATGATATATAATATATAAATATATATATTTTTTATTGTTTTAATTTTATAATTATATATTAAATAAGTACTATTTTCTAGATTTTTTTTTTCATAAATAGAATTTTGCGGTAAATTTTTTTTTTTTCCAATTCTATTTATATGACCCATTTCATTTTTATTTAAAAAATTCTAAAATTTTTAAAATTTTATTTTTTGTTTAATTTTTTAATATTTTCAATTTTAAAATTTTAAAATTTTTTTAAATTCCATTTGTTCTTATTTTATTAATTCAAAAATGTTAAATAAAAGATATAAATTTTTTTTCTTTTTTTTCTTTTTAATTCGTTTTTTTTAAAAAAATTTTATTGCGTGTTAATTTTTTTGTTAAACAATTCTTTTTGTCAATTGTATTTTTTTTCTTATATAATTTTCTTCAGATACTTGATTTTATCTCTTTTTTTTTTTTCTCATCTATACACTTTTTTTTTTATGTTTTTTTAAAATTTTTTCTCCTGTTTAAAATGAATACTAAATTTAAAATAATCTTCTGCACTCATATTTAAAGATAAATATAAATTTTTGACCTAATTTATTTTTATTTTTTTTTTTTCCAAGTTTGTTAAATTCATTTTTTTTATTGATTTTAAATAAATCCATTTTTTCAAAACATTATTAAAATCTTTTATTTAAACTAAATTCTCATTTTGTAAAATGCATATTTTCATTAAAAACACAATATTTATAAATAAAAAATTTTATTTAAATATGTTTAAAAGTTTTTTCTTGGTTTTTTGATTATGCAAAATATTCTTTTAAAATTTATATTTTTTATTTTTAATTTCTTTAAAAAAAAATAAAAATATTTTTTTTTTTTTTTTGGAATTTTTTTTTTTAGTTATATCTTCTTTTTATGTTTTTCAAAGCATCTTTAAATTTTTAAAATTTTATTATATTTACTAAATTATTTTCTTTAATTAAGTTGTTTTAAATATTTTGTAAATAGTTTTTTTTTTTTTTTTTTAAAAAAATTAATTTTTTCGTAAATTGAAACAAATTTATGTTAAGTTTTTGGCCAAAAAAAAAAAAATAATTTCAGTTTTTGTTTTTTTTTTTTTCTAATAAATTTAACAACAGAAAATTGTAAACAAAAATGAAAATATTTAAATTTTTTTTATATTTAATACTTTATCTAATAAAATAACTATTTCTATGGTTCATTATTTTTAAAAATGAATTTTCTAAATTTTTATATATAAAAATATTCTTTTTAATTTGAAGAATAAATTTACAATATAGACATTTTCTTATTTTTAATTATTTCCCTTTATTTAAAATATATATATCTTGAAATATATAATATATAATATTATATATTTAATTTTGCTTTTTATCAAAAGCAAATGTATCAATTCAAAATTAATTCATTTTTTTCATATTTTCTTCAAATAATGATTTCTTTCTCATTATTTGCATTTCCTTGTTTTTTTTCATATTCTTTTCATATTTATTAAAGAATTTTATTATATAGCCACGTTTTGTGAAATAACGGTACGCTCCATGCCCTTAAATTTGGTTGGAATTGCTCAATACTTAAAATTGTCAAAAAAAAAATTCAAGAGTTGTCTCTCAATCTTGAACCATTTATGTACATGCTCATATGAAATCTCTCCTCAATGCCATAAGCTATCTTAGCAATATCGCTTCCATCCATCAAGACTGAAAACATTGATAGCATGTTTTCTTTTATATTTTTTAAATTTAAATCCCCCATCCGTTTGCTCATTTATTTGTGTTAATAAATGTAACGCCCATCACAAGAAGCTCGAGAATGCTTTACTGACCGGAAATATTCAAAATTTTTGAAAATTTAATGTTCTTTTAAATCACAAGATAGTTAATTAAATTTTTTTTAAATGGATCATTATTTTTCTATCTTTTTATTTCTTGTTTTACCTATTCCCCCAAATCATTTTATTTGAAACAAAAAAATCTGCCCTTTTCAAATTGAAAATCATGCTGTTTATCTGTCAACATTTCCTTCAAACTTCATTTGGGAAAAATAAAAATTGACCTCCCAAATAAAAAAACCTTTTCATAATTATTACGAATATTTAATCTTTCAGTGATATCCGTTTATGTCCCCTAATATTGAGGTCTTTACACTTTAAATAATAATTTGAAATTTGAGGTTTAATCCTGGGTTAAATTGGAATCCTTTCATCCCCTTTGAGAAAATGTTTTTTACAGGTCAAATCGCTAAAATTCCTTGAATGTTATGAATGCTCATTTATTTTTTAATCATTGCCCATAGGAATCACTGTCTTTCTTCTCATTCGTAGCGACATGTCGGACTGCAATAGACGTCTCTTTGCCTCCGCCCGTAACGAGTAATGAGCGTGTTTATTCGAATCATAAGTCAATATTTGCTGCTCGGATGAAATTGTATTATTTTTTCAAATTTGGCTCAAAGATTTTTGGCGGCTTTGCAAATTGATGTCCTAATAATAGAAAAAAGATCCATAACTCCTTTATTCAACCAGTTTGGGTCTTGACCTCCTCTACCGACAAAATGAATGATTTGCTCAAAAAAATTCATTTTTCTTCAACGCTCGAAATATTTTTTCTGTAACCATAAAGACTTCCCTTTTATAAGAACTGAGGCCCTTTTTGAAATAAAATAAAAGAACATCATTGGCACTGGGCATTATCTCCAATTTTGACCCCAAAAAATTAGTGGTGGAGATATATATATACCATTATTATATTGAATAAATGCGCACCTGAGCTAAAAAATTTATCTAAAAACTATATAACTACTGCCTCAAGTTATCTTGTTTTCCTGACTGCTGGAAGTCCTCATCCATTGTTCCTGTCTTTAAGAACTCTGGAGACCCCTCTGACCCCTCTAATTACCGTCCTATTAGTCTCCTAAATCTTCAGCAAAGTCTTCAATTTTAAATCAATGCCGAAAAGTTAATTTTTACATCCCATGATCTGCTCTCAGACAAGCAATATGGTTTCCGCTTTACGCCCGATCTACAGCTGATGTGCTTACGGCCATCACTGAAACCGTCTACCAAGCCCTTCAAAATAACGGTGAGGCTCGTGCCGTGGCCCCTAGACATCTCCAAAGCATTTGATAGGGTTTGGCACGCCGGCCTTCTTCGTAAGCTCCAGGGTTATGGTATTTATACTGGTCGATTGTTTGATCTAATACAATCATTCCTGTCAAACCGTGAATTGAAGGTCGTTCTCAACGGATTCTCCTCCAGTTCCTATCTCACGAACGCAGGTGTTCTCCAAGGCTCCATCCTTGGCCCCACTCTTTTCCTTATTTTCATCAATGACCTTCCTGACGCCATAGATTCCCAAGTTGGCATCTACGCAGACGACACTACAATTTACTCCTGCCTAAAAAAAAAATCTAGTATCGGCGACAAAACTAACCTGGCCGTGCGTCTTGAAATGGACCTCCAATCGGTTGTTAACTGGGGCAAAATTGGCTGGTGTCAACTTTAACGCCTCAAAAACTAAAAACTACTCTCTATTAATCACCATAGAAATCCTTCCCTGCCCCCCCCCATTAAAATGTCTGATAGTCAACTTCCTGAGAGCAACTCCCTGCGTCTGCTCGGTCTCACGTTGACTGCTGACCTGAGATGGAACAAATACATTGAGTCAATTGCTTCTTTCACCGCGAGGAAAGTTGGCTCTCTGTGCCGCGCTAGGAAATTTTTTTCCCCGGAATCGATACTTCAAATATACAAATCAACCATTCGCCCTTGCATGGAGTATTGCTGCCATATATGGTATGGGGCACCTTATGTTTACCTCAGAGTTCTTGACAAGAACCAGAGACGGATATGTAATATAATTGGCCCTGATCTGGCGTCTCGTCTGCAGTCACTCTCTCACAGACGCACCGTCGCCTCTCTCTGTCTTTTCTACAAATACTTTCATGGTAATTGCTCCGATGAGCTGCTTTCACTGGTTCCCAGACTCCATGAATTCAAGCGCCCTGCGAGGCTGGCATCCCGCTCCCACCCTTACACTATAGAAACTTTTAAATGTAGCCGTCTCTTCTACTCCAATAGCTTCATACCTCGCACCTCTCGCCTGTGGAACACCCTTCCCAATTACTGTTTCCCTGAGAGCTATAATCTCCAACTATTCAAATGTAATGTCAATCGACATCTCCAGTTACCTTGATCTATCCCTATCCTTCTCCTCATCCTTTCTTCTATCACTCCTATCTGCTCTCGCTCCAAATCTTCTGCAACCCCCTGCATCCTAGTGGCTTCACGCCTTGCTTGGGGCGTAATGCTTAAAAAAAAAAAAAATATATATATATATATATATATATATATATATTTATGATATATATATAAAAAAAAAAAAGTTTCAAAAACCGATAAAATAACATTAATGAAAGAAAAAATAAATACAAAGAATAAAAAATAAAACTAAAAGAATATAAATTTAATTAGATTCATTTTAAAAAATAAATGTTTATTCTCTTATGTTTATATCCTATAATTTTCTTTTTTTTAATTTTAAATTTATATATATATATATAAATATATAATAACATATTTTTTTTTTATTTATATTTAAATATTTCATAAATATATATTATATATATATATTTATATATATATATATTTTATATATTAATATGAAAATATTTTTTGTAAAATTTTTTAAAGGTTAAAATTTTTGAATTTAAAAATATTTGTTTTTTTCAAAAAAACAAATTAAATAAAATGTGCTCATTTTTTTAATTTTTAAAATGATTTTCTTTTCCAAAGAATTTTTTTTAATGATTAAATTTATTTTAATTTAAAATTTAATTTTTTTTTCATAAATTTCAAAATTATTTTTTTTTCTAATTCTAAATATATATTTATCTATTAAAATATAAATATTCTCTGTTTATAAAACATATATATTTATTTATATATATATATATTAATATACCATTTCTTGTATACGCTTTAAGATTTTCTTTCAAAACTAGGTTTTATAAATAATTTCTTTATATTAAATTTGATATTGAAAAAAAGTATCTATATTTAATTCATCATAGTTCATTTCAATTTTTAAAATTTACATATTTATTTATATACAATATTAAAAATAAAATTTTTTTCATTGAATTTTTTATATTTTGATAATTTTATTTTTATTTTTTTATATTTTATTTTTTTTATATCAATATATAAATAATGATTTTATATGTAAAGCAAATGAATTATTGTAAATTATTTATATATTTATAAATGTTTTATAAAATTTTTTCTATTCAAATTTTTTATTTTAAAAAATGTTATTTTTTTCATTTTTTTTTTCAATTTTTTTTTATGTTATATCAATAAATTTTAAATTATTTATCATTAAAAAATTTTATTTTTAAATAAAATTGTTTCTTTTTTTTAAAAAATATATCCATATTTTAAAAAATTAAAAAAAAAAACCGAAAAAACATTTTTCAAACATTTATTTTTTAATTTTTATTTAAGTTAAATATTAAATTGTCATATATATATATTATATATATATATAAATATTTTATTTATATATATATATATATATATATTCTGAATATATATATATATATATATTTTTATAATATATTTTTCAGTATTTTTAATATTTTAAATAAATATAACAAATCTTTTATTTTTTCATTTTTGTTTTATATTAAAAATCATTTTCATTTATATGTGTGATAAATATGCATTCAAACTTTTTTTAACTAAGAATTTTAATTTTTTTTGTAATTTTTTATTTCATTAAAGATTTTATATTTTGTTTATAATTTTTTAACCCTCAAATTACATAATTTTTATGGAAGAAATGATTTAAATAATTTTAAATCTTAATTAATTGAATTTTCAATGGGTTTTTTATATTTTTTTTAATTTTTTTAATATATCAAAACGCATTTGTCCATGTCAATTTAAGTATATAAACAAAATCATTTAAAATTGGAGATTTATTATAAAATTCTTTAATTTCCTCCTAATCACCCCATTTTATAAATTTTTATATTTTTTTTTATATATATTTATGTATATATATATATATAAATTTTATAAAATATATTTTATAATTTTGATGACGTTTTAAAATTTTTTCATTCAAATGGTTTCTGTCTTAACCTTTTTCCATTTAATTATATCCAACTTATTTTTTTTATTTAATTATTTTTTTTTGATATTTTTCCAAAAAAAGAGATAGGTTCTCATCATAAAAAAAATTCGATTTTTTTTATAATATTTGATCGAATGTAAATTGATCTGGGAAAATCGATAAATTTGAAAATATTTTATATTTAAAATTGTATATGTTTTTTTATTATTATTTTATGAAAATTTAATCATAATTTTTAATTTAATAATTTTAAATAATGGAATTTTTAACGATCATATTTTGAAACATTTGTTGAATCCACTTTGATCAATTTTAAGTTTTCATTAAATTTTTTTCAAAATATTTTCTTAAATGGCGTTTTTTTTTTTTGTTTTGTTGTTTTTTATTTCTTTGATTTTTCAACCAAAAAACAAAAAATAAATTTAACAATTTTTTATAAATTTATTTCAAGAAATTTCTAATATTTGATTTATTTTCTATTTTAAATTTCATTTAAATCAATTTTTAAAAAATTGTAATTTTGAAAAATTTTTTCAATTTTAAATTTTAATTTAATTTTTTATAATTGATTTGAAATTTGTTCAAATTTAACGAATTTTGAAACAAAAAAATAATAAAAAAATCAAATTCAGTTTTTTTTCCTATAAGGTAAAAAAAATCCTGTTTTCTTTTTTTTTTTATATTTTTTTTGAATTTGTTTTTCAAATTAAAATCATTAAAATCCCCTTAGTATTTTTTTTTGTAAGAAAATTTTTATTTTTTTTAAAAAGTTTTATTTTTGTAATCCCGCTATTTTTTTATTTTTTTTGGGTTAAGTGTGAAAAAAAAGGTAAGTTTTTTTTGTTTTTTATTATTTATTATTTGTTTTCAAATTTTTTTTCAAAGAAAAAACTCTTTTTTTCAAATTTACATTTTTTTCTTTTTTTTTTTTTTACAAATCAATGTAATGGTTTCTTTCTTTTTTTTTTAATAAATATTGATTTTTGGCTCGGTGTCCAGATTTTTTTTTTAATTTCTTTTTTTTTCTTTTTTTTTCTCATTTAGACATTTTTTAATTAATAATTTTAAAATGCTTTTTTTTTTGGTTTTCTTGACATTTTTGATATTTTTTTTTGTTTCAAGAGATTTTCTTCCCAGAAAAATTTTTTAATTTTTTTTTCAAAATTTTTTTTTTTTTTTTTTTTTTTTTTCATTTAATTTTTTGAAAAAATTTATAAGTTATTTTTTTCTTTTGGGTTTTTACGGATTCCTGTTTTTCTTTTCCATTTTGGATTTCAAATTTATTTTTTTTTTAGTCCTTTTGTTTATTTTTTTTTTGTATTTTTTTTTCATTTCATTAGAAAATTTCTTTTTTCATTTTTTTTTTTTTCTTTTTTTTATTCAATCGAAATTTTTTTGATCAAATTCTTTCTTTAATTTATTTCAAATTCATTTAATTTATTTCTTTTCAATTACCTTTTAATTCAAAAAAAAAGATTTTTTTTTTCTTTTTCTTTTTTTTTTTTTCTTTCAACTTTTTTTTCTTTTTTTTTTTTTTTATTTTTTCCTTCAAAATTTTTTTTTTTCTTTATTTCCAATTTTTCTTTTCAAAATTTTTTTTTTTTTTTTTTTTCTTTTTTTTTTTTTCAAAATTTTTTTTTTTTTTTTTTTTTTTTTTTTTTCTTTTTTTTTTTTTTTTTCTTTTACAAAAATTTTATTTTTTTCTTTCTTCTTTTTTTTTTCTTTTTTTTCTTTTTCTTTTCTTCTTTTTTTAAAGAAAGAATTTTTCTTTTTTTTTTTTTTCTTTTTTTTTCTTTCATATTTTTTTTTTTTTTCTTTTTTTCATTTTTTTTTTCTTTTCTTTTTTCATTTTTTTTTTGACATTTTTTTTTTTCATTTTCTTTTTTCTTCTTTCTTTTCTTTCTTTTTCAAAATTTTTTTTTCTTTCTTCTTTTCTTTTTCTTTCTTTTTTTCCTTTCTTTCTATTTTCATTTTTAATTTTTTTTATTTATTTTTTTTTTCTTTTTCGAATAATTTCATGATTATTTCTTTAAATCCATTCCATTCTTTTCTTTTAGAAAAATCTTTTATATTTGGAATTTTTTTTCATTTTTTTTTTTTTTTTTTCTTTTTTTTTTCTTTTCTTTTGAAAAGGAAAGAAAAATTTTCATTTATTTTTTCTTTTTTTTTTTTCTTTTTTTTTTCTTTTTTTACTTTTTTTCAATTTTTTTTTTTAATTCATTCTCTTTCTTTCTTTTTTTCTTTTTTTTCTTTAAAAACTTTTTTGTTCTTTCTTTCAAATTTTTAAAAAATTCATTCTTTTTTTTCTTTCAAAATCATTTTTTTTCTTTCATTATTTTCTTTATTTTCTTCCTTTTTTTTCCTCTTTTTTAATTTTTCTTTTTCTTTCTTCTCTTTTTTGCCAAAGAATCTTTCTTTCATTTCATTTCTTTCTTTTTTTCTTTCTTTTTTTTTCTTAAAATCTATTTTCTTTCATTTTTATTTTATTTTTTTATTTTTTTTTCTTAATTTATTTTCATATTTTCTTTTCTTTCTTTTTTCATTTCTTTCTTTCTTTCTTTTCTTTCTTTTACAATTTTTTTGTAAAATCTTTTTCTGGAATTCTTTTTTCATCTTTTATTTCTTTTATTTTTTTTTTTTTTTTTCTTTCTTTTTTTCTTTTCTTTTTTAAATTGTATTTATTTTTTTTTTTGAAATAAATTTCATCTTTTTCTTTTCTTTCTTGTTTCATTTCTTTCTTTTTTTCTTTCTTTCTTTCTTTCTTTTTTTTTTTTTTTTTCATTTTTTATTCATTTTATCTTTCTTTTTTTTTTTTCTTTTTTCTTTCTTGCTTTTTTCCTTTTTTTCTTTCTTTTCTCTTTATTCTTTGGTCTTTTCTATCTCTCGTTCTTAAGAATTTCTTTTCATCTTTCCTTTTTTTACTTCTTTCGCATTAGCTTTCTTTCTTTCTTTCTTTCTTTCTTTCTAATTCCATTCTCTTTTTCATTATTTCTTGATAATTCTTTTGTCTTTCTTTAGGAATAGCTTTCTTTCTTTAAAATTCACTTTCTTTCTCTCTTCTTTTCTATCTTTCGTTCTTTTTTCTTGATAATTCTTTTCTTTATTTCGTTCTTTCTTTCTTTCTTTCTTTCTTTCTTTAGAAAGTCGCTCTGTTTGATTTTTTGTATCTTTCTTAAGAATACCTTTTCATCCTTTTTTTTCGTGATAATTCATCTTTTATTTGGTAAGAAACAAATAATTTTCTTTTTTTTTTATTCTTTCCTTTTTTTCTTTTTTCTTCAATTTGTTTCTTCTTTCTTTTCTTTTCAAATGAATTTCTTTTGAAATCCCTTTTGTTTTTTTTTTTTGCATCTCTTTCTTCTTTCAAATACTTTTCATCCTTTCTTTCTTCTTTCTTTTTTCTTTTTTTTGTTCTAATCTTTCTTTCTATCTTTTTTTTCTTTCTTTATTTCATGAAAATTGCTTTATTTTTTTTTCTTTAGAAATGCCGTTCTTTCTTTAATTTTATCGTTCTTACTTTCTTCAGAATTTACTTTTTTCTCTCTCTTCATTTTCTTTATTTCCTGATAATTCCTTTCTTTCTTTCTTTATTTCTTTGTTTGTTTGTTTGTTTCTTTTTTTCTTTCTTTCTTTCGAAGTCCCTTTGTTTGTTTGTATCTCTCTTTCATTCCTAACTTTTTCATCCTATTTTGAAAATCCTGTCTTTTGGGACTTGATAATTCCTTTCTTTCGTTCTTTATTTCTTTCTTTCTTTCGAAAAACGCTTTGCTTGTTTGATATTTTGTATCTTTCGTAAGAATAACTTTTCAGCCTTTCTTTCTTTCATTCCTTCTTTCTTAGAATTTTTCAAAAAATTCGTGCTTTTCTTTCTTTTTTTTTTTTTATACCCTTTTCATTCTTTCTTTTAAACTGAGAATTCCGTTTTTTTCTTGTATTCTTATAATAATACTTTCAATATCTATCTAACCAATTTTATTCACCTTTTTCTTTCTTTCATTCTTTCTTACTTTCTTTCTTTTCTCATATTATTCGTTATTTCGTTTATAATATACGTTTCTTTTAATCTATTTTATTTCTGTGAGCGGGAGAAAATGACTTATACGTTTCTATACATTAGAACAATATTAGGCAAATGAATGACAAAGTGGAAAATTTCTGTGTAACACATTTCATCCTCTAAGAGAGAATTTTTTAGACGAAAGTAATGCTCATTTTTAATTTTTATATATGTGTAGGATTAATTTTTATTTTTCTTTCAGTTTCGATTTTAATTACTTAACGACAAATAAAAATTTTGGTGCTGAACGCTTTGAATGTTTGAATTTTAAAATCTAAATTAGATTTAAATTTAATTTATTTTTCAATCGTGTCTGGATAAGTAGTCTAGCCGATCTCATTCTTTTTGTCTATGCTTTTGTTTTGTTCACTATCATTAAGTATGTAACACTGGGATAACTGCCAAGCAAGGTGAAAGATTATAAGAACTTAGGATTAAAACATTCTAGCAATCAAAGAACTTTCTATAAACGCTCACCTATTGTAAATAGCTTTCTTTTGAATTAAAGTAGCATGTTATTAAATTGAAAATTTGCTTATATATTGATCTTTTTCTTTCTTTATTTATTCATATCTATCTATCTATCTATTTATCTATCTATATATATATATATATATATATATATATATATACATACAAATGCACACAATATATATATATATATATCAGTCTATTCATATCTATCTATCTAAAATTATATCTATCTATCTATCTATCTATATATATATATATATATATATACATACACACAAACACACACACACACATCATATATATATATATATATCAGTCTATTCATATCTATGTATCTATCTATCTCAGTCTGTATGTATATATATATATATATATATATATATATATATATTATATATATATATCAGTGTGTTTTTATTTATAATTCTTTTATCTATATGTCACTTTCTCTTTCTTTATATTTTATATATATATATATATATATATATATATATAATATATTTTCTGTTCATAATCTATCTATTATCTAAATATCTATCTATCTATTTATTCTGTCTATTTCTATAAATCTATCTTTAATATCTATTAGATCTATCTATCTATCTATCTATCTATCTGTCTTTTAAAAAAAAAATCTTTTACAAGTTTTTGTATTACAAAATCTTTCTGATCTATTTATCTATCTAAAAAAATAAATCTGTTCATATTAAATATCTATCATCTATCTTTCTAGAAACTATCATTTTTATTATCTATCTATCTATTATCACTCACTTACTATAAATAAAATATCCTTCTATCTGAAATTCTATTCTATTTATCTATTATCATTTCTATTTTCTGAATGTTCACCTCTATTTATCCAACAAATTTTTTTCATGTTTTTCTTTTTCTCTATCTGCTTTCACTCATTATTTGTCTTTTATATTTGTTTCATTTCATTTATTTTATTTATATGTTGGTCAATTTTTTCTATTTCTTTCTTTCTTTCTCTTACTTTTTATTCAAATTTCTCATATATAATATCGTTGTCATGTTTCAATTTGCCATTCCCCCCCCGACCTCACTCGTCATACATTTCTTCCTCTTTTCCCACTCCATCATTCCTTTTCTCTCTCTCTCTCTGCTTCCTTCCTTCTATTCATCCGTTGCCTATTACGCATGCGTGCACAGTCAGAATGGCTACCATGCAGAACACCGTCTTATATAGGCATCCTCGTTTTTTATCCATCTGGCTTCAAAGAATATATGCAAAAGTAAAAAACAAAACAAAACATGATGAATATATTTTAATGAGTTCGCTGAAAAATATGTATGGTCACCATACTGAATTGGCAGGGCGTGAAAAAGAAAGAATGAGAGAAAAATGTAAATTATAGGAAGTTGAAGAGGGACAATGTATAAAATGTTGGATTGGTCAGTCGAAGTGTTTATTCAAAACAAAGAATATTAGGAAATGAGATAGATAGATAGATAGATAGATAGATAGATAGATACATAGATAGATAGATACATAGATACATAGATAGATATGAACAGACTAAGATATATAGATAGATATCAACAGACTAAGATAGATAGATATTTAGATAGATAGATAAATAAATGAATAGATAGATTTTGGGCTTTATTTTGACCTAAAATAGATAGAGAGGTAGATAGATAGATAAATAGATAGATAGATAATAGATAAAAATGAACAAACTAATTGATAGATAGATAGATAGATAGATAGAATGAATATGAACATAAGATAGATAGATAGATAGATAGATAGATTTAGATAGATAGATATTTACAGATTTTTTTGTTTTATAGATAGATATGAACAGACTAACATAGATAGATAGATAGATAGATAGATAGATATGAACAGATTTTTTAAGATAGATAGATAGATAGATAGATAGATAGATGCTAATTTCAGATTTAGATAGATAGATAGATAGATAGATAGATAGATAGATAGATAGATAAATAATAACAACACATGAGTACATCAACAATCCATGTTGTAGTTGAAGCCCTCGCAAGATTCCAGTCAACCCATTGAAGAGATTCCTTTATTTTTTGCTTTAAAGAAATACAAGAAATTGTTCTCACGAGTACAGGCCACACCTTACGAAGGGCTTTATGTATCTAAAATGTGTGTGTGTGTGTGTGTGTGTGTGTGTGTGTTCGTGTGTGTGTGTGTTTTTTAAAAAGCGTGATGCGTTTTTTTTTTTAAATTTTTCAATGGAAAATGTCAAGATGCCATTTCTGACCTTAAGGTCTCTGGACGGAACCCGGAAAGAAATGCATTACCCAGAAATCAAAGGAAATAAAACAACAACAACAACAACAATAATAATAATAATAATAATAATAATAATAATAATAATAATAATAAAATAATAATATAGGGACTTTCACAAAAAAAACGCGATACCTATGGTATTCTTTTTTGAACTTTTATTTTAGTTTTAATTTCAAGCTAACAGATTAAATTTAGCATTTCTAATAACCAAAATACTTTGCTCTATTACAAAACTCAATTTAAATTGACTGGAAATAACTGATTAGCGCGTTTTTATTCGTCTTTCATCGCCATGTGATTTTCTTTATTAAAAAATCTTCCAGAAATAAAATATAAATTTCTGAAACTTTATTTGAGGAATATTAACTGAAGTAAATGATAATTAATCTGATTTGAAACTAATATTATTTACTTTAAGTTTAAATATGCAAGAAATATTTTTTTAATGGTAGTAGCTGTGTTTTTAACCCGATGGTAGCTGTGTTGGCGTGTTGACAGTCTGATGACAGATATAACGTTGTTCTTCAGAGAATTTATCTGTGAAACTTAATTGAAGAAAATACCGTGAGCGCCTTTTTATATAATTTTTAGTACTCAGCAATTTTAAAAATTTAGGAAAATATTCTCCGTAATGTAATGTTTTATTGAATTTTAGAAATGTCGACTTTAACTTTACTATAGTTATTGTTCTTATTTTCTGATAATGCCGTTTATGGTCGACCGTACTTTCAAAACATTGGTGCGTTTATATACACAAAATAAATTCAAAATTTAAAAAAAATCTATTGGTGTTTGATGATTTGCATTAAGATTTTTTTTTTATTTATGATTAGTAAATATAGTTTTCATTCAATAATATTATCTAAAAGACTGAATTTAATACAGAATTTTTAAAGATTTAAAACTTAATAATTTTTTTGATTTAAAAGTACGAAAACATTTTTTGTAAGAATTCATTATTGATCGAAACATTTTTTCTTAAGCCAACAGTGTCCTTAATGTATATTAGTTATAAAAGCAAGTAAAAGCTTTTCTAATTAAATAATGTAATCGCTTTGTTGCAATTTTTATCAGACGACTTAGAGATGATTTTTGATAAATGGTGTTTTTGTTTGACAAAAACTAATTGATGATTTAAATTCTCCAATGAGTCCTTTCTGCTTTTAACTAATATAAATATGAAGAGGCTGATATTTTACTTTCTCGAAATTTCATGAAATGAAGTAAGCGTAGAGTAAGAAAAGTAAAAAATAAATATCAAAGTTTTCTAAAAAATAAAAATTCAAAAATATTTAATTCATTTGTGAATAAGTCTTGAAAATCTAATTAAAATCCCACAATTATTTGATTTTTGCAAGAATTTCGAAAACAATGTGTTTTTACCGCCAAATAAAGACGCTTAAAATTCTTATACTAGTGCCTGGCTCACACGCAGTCTCAAGAAAATCTAGATTTTAACCCAAATTTCGAACGTTTAAGAAACGGCTAAAAAATTTTATAAAATAATAAAAAAAAAATGATTTGGTTTTTCTTTTTAATAATAACAAATATTTTGACGATAAAACTTTGTTTTTATCAAGTATGGAACCTTTTTCATCATGGTATACTTAACATCAGGAAGAGACGGTTTAAGTTTCTGGGACGCATAATGAGGAAGGAAGGAGGGCCTGGAGAATCTGATACTCACGTGTCGAATAGTGGGAAAGAGAGACAAGGGAAAACAACGCATGACATACCTATCGGGCTTAAGCAAGTGGATGACAGAACATCGTCTGGGGGAGGAAGCAGAGGGAAGAAACTTGTTGAGAGCTGCAAGGGATAGAGAGAGAAGTGGAGAGCCATGATCGCCTACGTCCTGAAAGGACATGGCACATAAAAAGAAAAAATGCTCTTTTTAGACAATTTTGGGACGTAGCTCTACTACTACTACTACTAATAATAATAATAATGATAATAACGTGAATTTTTTTTCCCGATTTTCCTATTTTAATTTTCTGATTAATCATAATTGTTAAACTAATGACTGCGTATTCTACGGATATAAAACACTTCCGGACCCCCCCCTCCATAGTGCATTGTTAAATATTTCAGCTTAATGACTTCAGAAAATATTTCAATAACAATCATAAGTATGGTCATTATCTAAAGACGTAAGAGGGTACAAATGAAAAGATTTTAAAATTGAGAATTTTTTTTTCCATTTCACTGAAATTGACGTTAAACGTAGAGGATTACCGCCTCCTCTATCTTCAGTTTACGTTTTTTTTCTTTTCATCCCACCCACATTCCATTCCATAAAACCAAACACCGCCTTTGATATATCTTTTCTTCCGCCTATCTTTGGAATCAAAGAGGAATGGTTGATTGTTTATTTCAGGCAATGGCAAGGCGTAAGGCATATGCTAACAAACTAAGGAACGAAGAATCGAGCAGAATTGTAACATGAAAACAAAATGTTTTCTTTAGAAACAAATCTTATGATAGAAAATTCACATTAGCAAAATATCCACAAGGAGATATTTAAGAAGAAATCTTTTAATTTAAATAACGAATCCTTAGAATTTTGATATTTCCCGAATTATAAATATAATCAAACAATAATTTAGAAATAAAAGTAAAATTTTATCTGAATCATAAAATATTTTAAAGAATTCTTATATCTTTTATTAAACTTTTCTTTCTTTTTTTTTTTTTAACCCTCGGTGGATATTTTTCAAACAAAATTTGAGTGTATTCATCCGCGTAACCATTACTCTGGGGAACTCATTTTGTACGCACTTCGATTTTGTTTACTCAGAAATAAACGATCATATTTCATTCTCAGTTTTCTTGAAAATATTTTCCAACGCGATTATTTCCACAAATTCTGATTTACATACCTTTTTTTTTAAATTCTTGTTTTTTAATCGTTCCTAGTTGTAGTGCACATTGTTTATTACTGCCCTTCAACGCTCCCATACTTTCTCTTCTATTTTGGAAATTAACAAACGTTGAAATGTTTTTTTTGTGTATTTTTTAGGTGAAGATGTGTGTTCAATATGTATATAATAGATATAAGCATATAATAAGTTAGCGTTCTGCTACGGACGTTTATTTCTTTTGCGCGGACTATAGCGAAAGAAAATTCTCAATTTCTTTTGGGTATGTCCGTTCCCTTTTTTTGGGGGCATTAGTAAGTTAGGATAACAATGCTTAAAATAGTCAAGTACAAGTCAGCTTTGCGCTCAGCTGGAACGACCAATTCACTTACTTCATGAGTCGTGCTGCCAAAACACGTCCGAACAATGTCGATGGAATTGTGGAAAAGAGAATTCAGACGTCATTGGCACGGGGAAACTAAAATTAATTAGTGGGAACATAAATGCAACGTGGTTCACATGTTGGACCATAG